GGCTGGCTTTGAACCGCGATCCTCAGATCTCAGCCTCCTGAGTAGCTAGGATTACAGGCGTGAGCCACCAGAGTAGCTAGGATTACAGGCGTGAGCCACCAGCGCCCGGCTGACTCCTACTCTCTATTTCAGTAGTTTCAAAGTTTCTGGTCTGATATTGAGGTCTTTGATCCACTTTGGATTGCTATTAATACATTGTGAAAAACAGGAATCTACTTTTTGTTTTCTGCATATGGATACCCAGTTTTCCCAACACCAGTTATTGAAGAGGATATTTTTTTTCCTATTTTGTATGTCTTTGGCTCCATTATCAAATATTAGATAACTGTAAGTGTATGGTTTTATTTGTGGGTCTTCTAATCTGTTCCATTGATCTTTGGATCTTTCTTTTTTTTGGGGGGGGGGAGGAGGGTCCGGTCATGGAGCCTGAACTCTGGGCCTGGGCACTATCCCTCAGCTCTTCAGCTCAAGGCTAGCGCTCTACCACCTGAGCCACAGCGCCACTTCCGGCTTTTTTTCTTTTTGCTTATGTGGTGCTGAGGAATCGAACCCAGGGCCTCAGGCATACAAGGCAAGCGCTCTACCACTGAGCCACCTTCCCAGCCCCTGGATCTATTTTTGTGCCAATACCAAGCTGTTTTTGTTAATATAGCTCTATAGTAGAGTTTGAGGTCTGGTATTGTGATACTACCTGCATTGCTTTTTTTGGCCTAAATTGCTTTGGCTATTCTAGGTCTTTTGTTGTTCTGTATGAATTTTTGGATTGTTTTGTCTATCTTGGTAAAGAACATCATTGGGATTTTGATTGTGATTGTTTTGAATGTGTATATCACTTTTGGTAGTACGGTCATTTATACAATATTGATTCTTTAAAAATATAAATTCTTTAAAAATATAATGCTGCTGCACTGTCCAAAATAGGCAAAAATGGTCTCCATTTTCACTTTAAATACAAGTCAACATCATTAAAATAAGGCTGGTATTATACACCTGTAATCCTAGCACTTGGGAGGGTGAGGCAGGAGGATCACTAGTTCCAAGCCCAACTTGGGTTGTACCATGAGACTCTAGAAAAACATAATCCTTAAATAGTGATTTATCTACAAGGCTCTATACATGGTTTTCCAGTGGATGTTTAGGAATTGTCTGTGGTAACAATGACTGGGAAAATTACAGATAATGGGTGAGGGACCGTGAATGACAGACATCTGCTTACTAATTATTTTAGATTAGATCCTAATTCATATATATATGTATTTATATGTACACATATATACACATACAAATACACACACAGTAGTTTCTGTACAAATGTAACTGTTGTATTTAGAGATTATGCTTTACTTTATAAATATTTACATGCTGCATACAACTTTATTAAAAATTTATTTCTTCTTTATATATAGTTAATTGAGCATATGTATGGCACTACATTTAATTTAAAACATATAATGTATAATGAGTGTTAGTTTTGTAGCAAAAAAAATGCAAGTGTTTAAAGTATTTAAAGTACTATTGGTTTGGTACCTTCTACTTCTCTGATCTTATGCCGACTTGAAGCCACGGCTCTAGTACACTGGCTTTCTTGGTATGCTTTTAAATACCAGGCATTCTTTTGGAGAAAAGCATTTGCACTTGCTTCTCTCTCTGTCTACACTCTGCTTCCTCAGATACCTGAAATGTTTATTTTCTCTATTACTTTGGGATTTTATGCAGTGAGGGCTTTTCATGAGTGAAAGCTTACCTAACCATGTTTTTAAAAATTGTACCCCAATATGTTCCCCTCTTACCTAATTTCTTTCTGACATATCATATAGTTTGTATATTTATTTCTTCACTCCCTAACACTCACTAAGACATAAATACTGTACAGGGATTGTGTCTGTATTGTTTGTTATATCCTCAGGGCCTAGAACACTGTCTGGCAGAATCAGAAAATATCTGCCAAATACGTCAGTGAACTGCTGTTCTCAGAGAAGAAAATGTAGCACATTCCTTATTTTACAAGCCACAATAATGAAACTTTTACAAAAACTCAAGGCATAAGAGATTGATGGCTATAGAATCAAATATAAATGTTTTTGACCTCTATAATGCTAAAAAAGAAAAACATGGGTGAAATAAGTTTAACTATATAACATTAATAGGACATATAACATGTAACATTAATAGGACAAGAAATTTATAGTTACAGGAAATCAAAAATAAACTAAAAATAGCGTGAACTAGAGTCAAGGAAAGATGGAGAAGATTGCAGGTTAAGCCATCCTTTCTCTTCATTGTAAAGAATAATGATAAAAGTATGTAAATTAAAACTAGATAAGCCAGGTACTGGTGGCTCATACCTGTAACCCTAGCTACTCAGAAGACTGAGATCTAAAGATATGTGTTCAAAGCTAATCTGGGCAAGAAAGTCCATGACACTCTTATCTCCAATTTACCTCCAGAAAACCAGAAGTGGAGCTGTGGCTCAAAATGGTAGAATGCTAACCTTGAGCAAAGGAACTCAGGGACAGTACCCAGGCCCTGAATTCAAGCCAACAGACGACAAAAAAAAAAAAAAAAGACCAGACTGCAAAACTATATTATCTAAAGAAATTAAAGGGGCTGGGAAGGTGGCTCAGTGGTAGAGCGCTTGCCTTGCATGCATGAGGCCCCAGGTTCGATTCCTCAGTACCACATAAGCAGAAAAGAAAAAAAAGCCGTAAGTGGTACTGTGGCTCAAGTGGTAAAGTGCTAGCCTTGAGCTGAAGAGCTGAGGGACAGTGCCCAGGCCCAGAGTTCAAGCCCCACGACCGGACCCCCCACCCCCCAAAAAAGAAATTAAAACATTACTAATGGTAGAAGTAAACAAAAATGTTTGAAAAGTGTCAATAAGGGGTAGAAATAAAGATTGGAACAGTTTGTTCAGTTTGTTGTTTTTAACCAGAGCATTTATTACTTTGATGAAAACTTTAAATTTAAATTATCATCATCATATTGTTTTAAGTAATCATTCATGACTGATAATTTCATATTAAAATTATACTATTAGAGTTTAAATTCTCCTTCAAATAATCAGATACCACAACTGCTCCCTAATATCATGTTCAGAAACTTAATATATATCATATCATACCATAAAGAAAATAAGATCTTAAGAGTTACTAAATGGAGCTGAATCTTCTTTGCAAAATATTGAAAAAGCACATGGACTGAAATGTTAGGACAAATATATCATCTACATTTCACAATCTGTGAAAACCTAACTAAAGTATCTCTCTCTCTTTTTTTTTTGCTGGTCATGGGGCCTGAACTCTGGGCCTGGGTGCTGTCCCTCAGCTCTTCAGCTCAAGGCTATCGCTCTACTACTTTAGCCACAGTACCACTTCCGGCTTTTTCTGCTTATATGGTGCTGAGGAATGGAACCCAGGGCCTCATGTAAGCAAGGCAAGCACTCTACCACTGAGCCATCTTCCCGGCCCTAACTAAAGTATCTGACTGTTTTGACCAATGACATATTTCTTTTTTTTAAAATATGAAAATATGTATTTATTACCAACAGTATTTAATCAGCTACACACATGTACACACATAATAGCAGGATGAAATTACATTTTTTACATAGTAAAAGGTACACACTTCAGAAAAAAAAGCAGGCATGAATATGTCCAAGATAATCAAAAAGCAGCAAGAAATTTTTTTTCTTATTTTGAATATTGTAAACCTTTTAATATTAGTAGATGTCTTTACCTTGTGTTTCCTGTGAAACTATGGGTTTAAGAATAGAATTCTAAGGTGGGCACTGGTGGCTCACACCTGTAATCCTAGCTACACAGGAGGCTGAGATCTGAAGATTGTGGTTCAAAGCCAGCCAGGGCAGGAAAGTCCATGAGATTCTTATCTCCAATAAACCACCAGAAAACTGTAAGTAGTACTGTGGCTCAAGTGATAGAATGCTAGCCTTGAGCTGAAGAGCTAAGGGACAGTGCCCAGGCCAAGAGTTCAAGCCCCATGGTGGACAAAAAAAAAAAAGCTATCAATCTGAAGCCACCAATAAATACAAACTTAGGTACATTTGTACCCTATTTTCTATCTTTACTCCTTTTAAAACAGTAGCAGTATTCAGTCTAACTAATTCACTTACTACATGCAGTGGTCATTCTATAAAGTTAGAGGAAGCTCCCTTTTACCTAATTCTTCTATCTATGATCTAGAACACAACAGATTTGTATTTAAGAAAGTAGATTCCCATTCCCTATGCTCTACCATTTAATAAACATATCCCATGGGGGTGAATTTTTTTTTTTTTTTGCGGGGGGCAGGGGGGTTGGGGGTGGGTCTGGTAGTGGGACCTGAACTCTGAGCCTGGGCGCTGTCCCTCAGCTCTTCAGCTCAAGGCTAGCACTCTACCACTTGAGCCACAGTGCCACTTCCTGTTTTTTCTTTTTGCTTATGTGGCGCTGAGGAATGGAACCCAGGGGCTCATGCATGCAAGGCAAGCACTCTACCACTGAGCCACCTTCCCAGCCCAGAATTTTTTATTTTTTTTTTTTTTTTTTAGGTTGAGACTAAGAATTTCACATACTTTTCTGCCCAGGCTGGCTTTGAACCATGATCCTTAGATCTCAGCCACCTGAGTAGGATCACAGGTATGAGCCACAACCAGCTAAATAAATATTTATTTAATTTTTTTCTTTTTCTTTGTGTGTGCGTGATTTTGATTCTTGATAATTCAGAATCCTTATATTATTTCAGGATTTGTATTTTAATCAGAAATTATCTCATTTGTACTGATTCTCAAACATATATATATAATAGTATAACTTACTTAAATATAAAAAGTAAAAAATTGCTAATTGCAATATATTTTTATCATTTTATTCTATAAATGAAGCAGAATCTGAAAAATCTTTATTTTTTGGATGACTCTCTTCAGTTATTCTAATTAATAGAATGTCACAAACAATAGGCTGTCAGTTCTTTTTCACATAGAAATTTATAGAAACAACCACTTTTACCTTAACTGGGAAGCTACATTTTCCCGTGCGAACCCCTTCTTCATCTGTCTGCCACTGATGTGGACGACTGGCTTCTGGAACATAAACATCTTTCTTTCTTCGAAAACTTTGCCGTAGTTTGTTCATTTTAATTTTTATAACCTGTAGATACAGAAAAAGAAGTACTTTTAAAGTTGTTATCTTCTTATATATTTAAGATTTTGATTTAGTAAAAACATAAACTAATGTCTCTAATTAGAAGTTATGGCTTCTGAAAATGGAAGATATGACATGTTACATACAGACTTAACAATATGTGAAACATTCTAAATACTTTTATATATTAGTAGGAAAAAAATTCCGAAACATTGGAATTTTAGCTTACAATTAGAAGATATTGTGAAAAGTAGAGACTATCTTTATATAAAAATGGTATTTTATGCCAGGTGCAGGTGGCTTATTCCTGTAATCCTATCTACTCAGCAGCAGGCTGAGATCTAAGGATAGCAGTTCAAAGCCAACCTGTGCAGGAAAGTACATGAGACTTTTATCTCCAATTAATCACAGAAAAAGCTGAAATTGGTCCTGAGGCTCAAGTGGTAGAGTGCAAGTCTTGAGCAAAAAGGAGCTTAAGGACAGGACCTAAGCCCACAGTTTGAGCTACAGGGCTGGGGGGAAAAGAAGATGTTTTATAAAGAAAACTTTAAACATACTCAAGGAAGGAAAAGTTGTACTAGTACTAAAGTAATCTAAAGAAATTGTATTTCTTGGGGGCTGGGAAGGTGGCTCAGTGGTAGAGCACTTGCCTTGCATGCATGAGGCCCTGGGTTCGATTCCTCAGCACCATATAAGCAAAAAGGAAAAAGCCGGAAGTGGTGCTGTGGCTCAAGTGGTAGAGCACTAGACGTGAGCTGAAGAGCTGAGGGACAGTGCCCAGGCCCAGAGTTCAGGCCCCACGACCAGACCCAAGAAATTAAAAAAAGAAAAAGAAAAGAAATTGTATTTCTTGTAAGCAGTACGAAAGAATTTAATTTTATACATACTTTTATACTCATTATAATAACCTAATGAGGAAGTGGAGTGTGGCTCAAGCAGCAGAACACTTGCCTTGAACAAAATTGCTCAGGAACAACACCTAGCCCTGAGTGCAAGCCTTACAACCAGCAAAAATAGTGATAATCTAAAGAAAGTATGTCAAAGGTTTAATTCTCATAATTAACTCTATGTGTCAGCTATGTGTTTTGTTACTGTAAGATGCAACATTTAAAGTACAGTAAAACTGGGTGCCACTGGTGGGTCATGTCTATAATATTATCTGAGATCTGAGGATCCTGGTTTGAAGCCAGCTCAGACAGGAAAGTCCAGGAAACTCTTATCTTCAACTAACCCGAAAAAAGCCAGAACTGGAGCCATGATTCAAGTGGTGGAGTACCAGATACAAGTGTAAAAGCCAAGCAAGAAGTCAAGATTGTGAGATCAAGCCTCGGTACTAGCATATAAAAGAAATCACAAAACTACAGAGAAATAAGACCTAACTGATCAGAATCAACGAAACATTCAAGAAGTAATAAATAAACTTGATAAAGTATCATTTTATAAAGCAAAAGTGCAAAATGTAAAACAAATTCTGCATTTTTTTCCAAAATTAAGGAACATGGGAGAACTTAAGAACTTCAGCTAGCTTCAAAATGATCTTAACTCAAAAACGATGTGACAAAGTTATAAAAAGGAATCATCTCTGTCAAGAGTGTTAATTCTCACATAACATCAATGAAGAATGAAGGATCTGAGAAAGTCTGAATGCTAAGAAAAATCATTTTGTTATTTAAAAATGCTTAGTACTATAGCAGAACTATTACCAAATTAGCTAATTTACATAGACAAGCCAATCTTACCACACCACTTAGGCAAAAAACCCAAGACAGATGAATGCAAGAATTACTGGGTTTTCTAAAATTGAATTTAAGCAGATCACTCATTTCTAAACTACCTAAATAAGAATATACCTTAACCTAAAAGAGTTCCCAAAATAATTCCATAACATTTCTTGCAAATATATCCTGCTATACTCTGAAATCACATTTTAAAAATATACATGCGGTGGAGAATGTGGCTCAGTAATAGAGCACTGGCTTAGCATGTGTGAGGCACTAAGCTCAAATCTCAGCATCTCTAATAATATAAAAAAAAAAATTCACAAATATAAGAAAACAAAAAGCACCCATGTCCTTGCTCAAACAGACATTCTCAGCAAAAAGCTTTGACAGTTCCTGTCTTCATTTTTCCTCTTGGCAAAGACAACTACTCATTTAGTCAAGTCAGATCCCTGAACAAATCCCTTCATTCACTCTTTCTCTAGCCTACAAAACTACTGATTTTAAGCCCTTATTAAATCTTTTGAATGCATTCCTAGTATTTCTTTCTTTTTAGGCAGGGTCTTCCTTTTGCCCAGGCTGGTCTTCAAGTCTCAATCCTTCTTACGAATAGAAGCTCCTTAGTAGTGTGGCTCTGGGATTAATAGCCATGTGCTACCTTGGTGAACTTCTAGTACCATTATATTAACATATTTTTGTTTAAATTACTGTAAACTCTATTAGTTGGTGTTTTTGCTTCCATCGGAGCTCTATTCCAATATATTTTCCTAATTACTGTCAGAGAGCTTCTAGAACATAGCGGTGATCTCCAAACTACTTTACTTAAAATCCTCAATTGGCTAGGTGCCAATGGCTCACGCCTGTAATCCTAACTACTCAGGATTCTGAGATCTGAGGATCATAGTTCAGAGCCAGCTGGGGCAGGAAATTAACCACAAAAGTTATCTTAAAAAATATTTCAAATAGGGGCTGGGAAGGTGGCTCAGTGGAGAGTGCTTGCCTTGCATGCATGAGGCCCTGGGTTCGATTTCTCAGCACCACATAAGCAAAAAGAAAAAAACCAGAAGTGGCGCTGTGGCTCAAGTGGTAGAGCGCTAGCCTTGAGCTGAAGAGCTGAGGGACAGCACCCAGGCCCAGAGTTCAGACACCATGACTGGCAAAAAAAAATAAAAAAAATAAAAAAATAAATAAAAATTCAAATTAACCACAAAAAGCCAGAAGTGGAACTGTAGCTCAAGTAGCAGAGCACTAGCCTTGAGCATAAAATCTCAGGGACAGAGCCCAAGCACAGAGTTCAAGACCCAGGACTGGTAAAACAAACAAACAAACAAATAAATAAAAGTTTCAATTGCTTTACATCACCTTCAAAATAAAGTCCAAATGGCATACCACAGCAAACAAGTTTTTTTTCATCTGCCTTCTCTTATCCGTCTCCATTTACATGCTAAACTCCACCTACACTAAACTACTTGCAGTCCTCCAACAAAGCATGTCCTCTTTCTGTATATGTTTCTCCATCTGCCTTTCAGAAAGAAAGACCTTTCTCTGTTTGTCTCTGGTTAAAGAGTACTCATTTTTAGAGTCACCTCGTGTTAACCTCTTGTATCATCTTGTTTCTGACAAGGGATCTTCCTTAATTGGCTGCGGTTAGTTCCTTTCATATGACTCCCACTAATTTTTTACTGACGTCTATTACTGCTCTCATCAATTCCTAGAACAATTTTGATTTCCTTATTTGTAAACTCAAGTTTATTTGTTTCATAACACAGTTCCTGCTATTAATATTGTATACTGTAAATCTGAAAAAAAATAAAGACAGCATAGACCTGCAACACAGCAGAAGATAATAACCAAGTAGGAAAAGTCTACAGACCCAAGAGTAGAGGATCATCAATTTTGGAAGAGACGTTAATGTCCTAGTCGTCCAACTTCCTATTGACAAAGGAACCACTTGACAACTTCTCTTAAGGAAGACACCAACTATGTCTAAATGGATCTAACAAAGTTTATTAACTCTCTGGGAAGTGACTTACTGTTGTAAATTTACCATTGTTGTACCAGTATGGCACTGAATAATATAACAGACTACAAATATCTACTAATTTGAGGGTTAAATATCTTGTCACTTCTAGTACTCAGTTTGAGTATTTTTGCAGAGCATTAGATATTAATGATTCTCAAGTTATGTTCGATGTCATCCTAAGATTTCCACCGTGGGCTGGGAAGGTGGCTCAGTGGTAGAGCGCTTGCCTTGCATGCATGAGGGCCTGGGTTCAATTCCTCAGCACCACATAAGCAAAAAGAAAAAAATAAAGAATTCCTAAAAAAAAAAAAAAAAAAGGAATGTTAAAAGGGGTGCATTGATCCACAGGCACTGTATTCCTAAACTGCTCTGTTGAATGGCAACTCCTTTGTACAAGTACTTGAAGAAAAGAAAATTTTATTTATTTATTTTATTTTTATTTTTGTGGGTCGTGGGGCTTGAACTCTGGGCCTGGGCGCTGTCCCTCAGCTCTTCAAGTCAAGGCAAGTGCTCCAGCACTTGAGCTACAACACCACTTCCAGTTTTCTGGTGGTTTATTGGAGATAAGAGTCTCATGGACTTTCCTGCCTGAGCAGGCTTTGAATCGTGATCTTAGCAGGATTACAGGTATGAGCCACCGGCGTCCAGCTATTTCTAAAAAAGTGACATAAGCAAAGGATTAACTGAAGGAGGTAAAAAAGTTAGCTAAAATAGTAGGATGAAAAAGTAAATAATGCAAGCACTGAGGAAGTAAACCTGCCTAATGTTTAAAGAACAAAAGGGTATTAGTGTGCAAAATAAAGACAAGAGAGTAATACAAACAAAACCCAATGAGTTACTGAGTATAAAGTCATATATAGCCTGATGACTTTCCTCTTTTTTTTTTTTTTTTTGCCAGTCATGGGGCCTGAGCTCTGGGCCTGGGCGCTGTCCCTCAGCTCTTCAGCTCAAGGCTAGCACTCTACCACTTGAGCCACAGTGCCACTTCTGGCTTTTTCTGCTTATGTGGTGCTGAGGAATTGAACCCAGGGCCTCATGCATGCAAGGCAAGCGCTCTACCACTGAGCCACCTTCCCAGCCCCGACTTTCCTCTTAAGAGAGGAATCCAGCTGGGCGCTGGTGGCTCACGCCTGTAATCCTAGCTACTCAGGAGGCTGAGATCTGAGGATCATGGTTCAAAGCCAGCCCGGGCAGGAAAGACTGTGAGACTCCTATCTCCAATAAACCACCAGAAAAACCGGAAGTGGCGCTGTAGCTCAAGTGGT